TACATAATATATGTGTGTGTGTGTGTGCGCTGTGTATATGTATTATGTATATATAAATACTTAAACGTACAGTATATATTTTAAAAATATTGACATATATTTACATGTATATATTTATATTCATATAATTGATATTATATATATTTAATATGTAAACATATTTTCTTAAATATATACATGCATGTGTGTGTATTTATATAAACATAATAAATAAACAAAAACATTTATTTTGGATGCGATCGCAATTAATCATTTGACAGCACTAATATACTGTATATATAATATTTATACATGCATATATATAAACATATAATATTTTTTAGATAGGTTATTATTTTATTATTTTGTATTGTTTAAAATCCACTTGGCCCAAAAATCAAAGGGAACAGGTTGATTGGGCATGATGCTTCTAGTCTCACCCAGGGACTATTGACTATCCCAGTGTTTTCACAATTGAGAGGGGACACTTCCAGTAAGGCTCGATTCGGTTTCAATGTGGTTGAGCCATTTCAAAATTTGCTTCATAGATATTACCGCCTAAATCCACAACAAGAAGCCTCTCCAACAGAGGTGCAGGGGATAGACAGATAAGGAGGGCTTGTTCCACGGCTAAATGAAGAGCTGAATCTCTGTTCTTAGAGGTTATGTAACATAAGAACGCTCTTTCAGCGGCTAATGTTTAGACTGCAGATCAGCCTCCTGCCGCATGGACCCATTCAATAGTATCTGCGTGAGTGTGTGTGTTATGTGTGTGTGTTGCTTTGTGAAGAGCTGAGGATGGATAGAAGGAGAGATGGATAGATTTACTGGTGGGGGGCATCGCAGCACCCCACTTACCTGCTTCCAGCTTCTTCCCTGCTGCTCCAGCCTGATTGAAAGCTGCTCAATACCTCATTCTTCCTTTTTTTTTTTTAGCTGTCTCCCTCGCTCTTTCCCCTTGCCCAGCTCTCCTTTTTTCTCTCTCATCTCTATGCCGATCTGACAGCAGCAATACAGCAGAGGAGAAGCCGATCATGGTATGTTGTGTGTTGCGCAACCCCACTTCTGGCTTACTGTTCAAATTTAATTTCCTTTGAAACCTCTTGAATGTTATTAGTTCTATGTAATCAGTACAGCTAGATTAGCCTGCTCTCAGACCAATGGCTTCATAAGTGGCTGTTCCGTCATACCCTCACAAAAGTGCTTTGAAACTGATGTTTTTGGTCCTTTTTGAGAACAGAGAAGGAAATTCATGGTTTCCTCTCCACTTGAAGATTATCTAGTTACAGAAAAAAGTATGTGAACCATAGATTTCTGCATAAATTGGTCATAAAATTTGATGCCTTGTGGGATAGGAAGAGTGTGACTGTATCCAATCGAATTCACACAGTGATATTGTGTTTTATGCTTGTGTAAGGAGAGTGTCGGACATTTTAGAAGTATGGAACCACAGCACAGAGCAAGTAACTTTTTTTAAAATCTGATGCACCTTCATTTTCAGGTGAAAAAAAATGCATTTTTTGTGGATTTATAAAATTAGAATTTTATTTGATTACACATTTATGATTATTAAATTAGATATTTTTTATTTTATACTCATAAAATATGCTCTGTTAGCTCTGACTCTTGTTGACTCCAATTAAGTTAGTCATTAACTTGTTCCATTTTGACATGAAAACTTATGTTTAAGCAGACTGTGGTGTTAGTTGTTGTGATTTGGTTGAAGATCGAAAGTCATTTTAGCAGAAATCCATTGCAAATCCACACACTTTCAGTTCGACAAAACCATATACAGTATTTGGTCGTCATAAAATTTGATGCCTTGTGGGATAGGAAGAGTGTGACTGTATCCAATCGAATTCACACAGTGATATTGTGTTTTATGCTTGTGTAAGGAGAGTGTCGGACATTTTAGAAGTATGGAACCACAGCACAGAGCAAGTAACTTTTTTTTAATCTGATACACCTTCATTTTCAGGTGAAAAAAAAAGCATTTTTTGTGGATTTATAAAATTAGAATTTTATTTGATTACACATTTATGATTATTAAATTAGATATTTTTTATTTTATACTCATTCTTTATGCTCTGTTAGCTCTGACTCTTGTTGACTCCAATTAAGTTAGTCATTAACTTGTTCCATTTTGACATGAAAACTTATGTTTAAGCAGACTGTGGTGTTAGTTGTTGTGATTTGGTTGAAGATCGAAAGTCATTTTTAGCAGAAATCCATTGCAAATCCACACACTTTCAGTTCGACAAAACCATATACAGTATTTGGTCTTCTCTGTGGTTCTATACTCCTAAAATGTCTGGGACTCACTTTACACAAGCATATAAAGCACACACCATCACTGTGAATTCAATTGGATGCAGTTGCACCCTTTCCATCCCATATGCAGCAAGTTTATGATGCCTTGTATTTTAGCCACAATCACACAAAAACCATGACTCTCAGTGCAGTGCTGATACAGGCACACAGCTCTCAGACACACACACCACTTCTCTGTCACTCATCAATGGCAGTCTCACAACATGTGCAACTGCCCTCCATCCCACCTGACACCTCCAATTGTAACCCAATGTTGATTTTTTTTTTTTAAAGCACCTTCCTGCTTTTCTGACTGCTTTAAGTTCCCCTGCACCATAAATATAAGACAAATTGAAATAAGATGATATAGAATAAAAGAGAAAATGTCTAATCTATAAAGTGTTACAGTTATGATGTTATTTTGTAGGCCATCCCAGAAGTTCGCATCACCCTAGTTCCCCTAAACAAATATACAGATTTTTCCAGTTGGCTTTTGGATTGTTGCAGAAAATAAGCTGTGTGACCAGCAAAAGTTTACAACACTCACACGTTTTGTACATAATGATTCTCACAAATGAACACAGCTTTTATGAATTTTAAAGCTTAAATACAATCGGCAGAAGAAAAAATCTAAACATAGGCTATAAATGAACTACAACACTCTTTCAGTCTTTATTTTAAAAACATTTAAACACAATGACGCTATAAAAGCGGGCTAAATGAGTAGATGAGTTTACCTGTGTGGCGTTATGATGTTTAATGTCCAACAACCATTAAAAACAACCTTTTTTCAAAACAATTAAAAGCTTTAAAAAACAATGCTGTTTTATGCTGTAGAATAAATCATGAAAATATCTTGAGCTTTTGTTAACAATATTTCAGGCATTTAGCCAAAAACTCAAAGAACCCATTGACTTCAGAACGATGGAACCAGAAGGAATAAAATGCTAACTTGTTTACTGGTTTTGGCAGACAAAAATATGACATCCAGCGTTTTAATTTTTTTTAATGATTTATTTTTGGCAGTTTTTTTGCCTTTGACTGACAGGAAGCGAAGTAGGATAGACAACATGGGCTCATTGGAAATACGTGCCTCTTCCTACGTTTCTGCCAAACTCAAAAATCGTACATATACACACGAATCGCTGCAGTTTCCAGTTGAAAGGAACACTAGAGGCAGTATACTTTTATTCCTTTTCACACAAAATATGATTTGCTTGTCCACAGTTTCGATTAATAATGCCTAATTTTCACATAATTACTTGAGGAATATTATGTTATGAATTCAAAACAATTTTAACATGCGAGATTTGAAAACTGATTTTGTTTTTAACATTTTTGTCACATATACAGCTTCATATGCATGAGTTTTCTAATTCAGTAGGTTTGCTTGGTAGCTCACACGATATGGCGTTGCACTTAAGTGAAGAAGAGCTCCGGTACGAACCATGTGAAACTAGAGTTCAACAAAACAGCTCAAATCCGCGTAAGGAAGTTAAAATAGCATGGCTGCATCAACAAATGCGGGGTTGTTGTTTTTTTTAGCACTTTTGCATTTGTTAACACTATTGGGTAGGTTTAGGCTTGGGTTTGGTGTAGAGGATATTTCTAACACGATAGAGCATTAACTTTTAGCGACACTCGTCGGATATTTAAATTATGAACCACCGCAATACGCACCTGAAGCGACGTAATAAAGAACACAGCAATACGTGCTTATATCAACGTAACAAAAACGTGTAAGGGTCACAAATTGAACCAGCGTTTTAGCGTCACTCACTGGATGTTTCACTTTGAAACTGCCATGACACATGGAGTAAGGTACGTAATAATGGTGTTGCAGAAATGTATTTAGAGGCACGTATTTCGAGTGAGCCTGGGTTGGGGATAGTGATGGGGGCGGGATCGGGAAACGCCCTCGAGTCGGGATTCGAACTCGGGGCGCCCGTAGCACAACTGCGCTGTATGTCGGCACGCTGCCCACAAGGCTTTATTTTTACTCTTCTATTTAGTTGTGTATTTCATTGTATTGTTTTATCTTTAGTTCTTTTTAGTTAATTATTTATCTTATTTTATAGCACACAGAGGCATACAGCACAGTTTGTGCAGTACATTGTTACATTATTTACATTTATATGTAGTTTGGGAGCAGGCACCATGTGAGCCAGGACCGCCACTGGCTCCTAGACTCCAGCTCATGAGTAACATAGTTGTAATGAAATCCAGGCTGAAGTTGACTCTGTACGGTGAGCCGCAGCTGTGTATGTATAGTGTCTAACCCTCAACTGCAGCTTATGTCTATACAGCCCTCCCTCAGGACTCACACACTGTCTCTGACACACACACTCAGCCTCGAGGGCTTTCCGCTCGGTGCTCAACTCACAGCCATCTTTCAATTTCAGTTTGTTAGCCTTGAGTTACAGATGATGTCAGTGTGCGGCCCATGAGGATGTAAAAAAAGAACGTTATTGCGAAGAGCTTGTTTCATTGTTTATTTAGCTACAGCGGGGACTCTGACACGAAAGAGCGTTTAGTTATTGTAAATGCACATGGAACATGGTTTCCTGCTCCGTTTAAGCATTTAGGTGCCTGGTGGGAACTATCTGTTTTCTGAAGGTATTACAACACAAATGAACACCTGGAGTCAGGCAGGAGAAGAAAGAGCAAAGTACCCATGGGGTTTACCGATGTTTGCGTTTGTTCTCTGACAGGGACAGCCCGACGGCTAATGAGAGTGGAGCCAAAACTGCCAGATCCAAAGCCTCCAGCCGCTTCCCCAGACTAGGCCGCAACTCGGGCCGTGAAGCCCGGAACCCTGAACCCCAGAGCGGTGACCTTTAACCTCTGAGCGCAATCCTCAGAACTCATCAGTATGAATGTACCGAGCCAAGGGCCTTCTCTTCTATTATGGATGTACACACTGACACCGCTGGAGACTAGCTGGGTTTAGAAACGACGAACAAAATCTGCAAGAAAATGTGGATTAGTGGCAGAACTTTTTCAGTTACTATTGTGCCTAGTGATTTATAACAGATGTTGTTTTTGGGAAAAGCCAGGATGTCATTTTGACTAACAGCAGTGACATGAAACTTTTATGAGACTGCGATGAGAATTGTGCGGAAATAATTTGCACATCATATTATTTGACTGCGACACATGGGACTCAATTTAATTTTTCTATTTGTATACATTTTGTTACCATGCTCTGCTATGTATGAGGCACAAAGTTAGATGTAATCGTATTATGCCTGCACTTATAATACATAAACAAAACAATCACTTTCTACCTTCCTGTTCACAGTAAATCCAAAAAAACTATTTCAGATTTTAGATGAAAGTCTGGTCAGAATGAAAGCGTTAGTCGAGTCTGGACTCTCGTGCTCCAGAGCCCTTGTCGTCTGTCCCTGAAAACCTTTCATTGGAAATTTCCCGGGCTGCCATTATCCTGTATGACCTCGTCATGCTCGAGTACTGTTACACAGAAAGATGGGGCGTATCGTATTGTGTGGACTGAATAGAAGAGAATTTCGTAGCAGGGGAAACTCCACTGAATGAATGAGTGAGAGATAATTTTGCCCTATTTTAACTACAAGCACAATGATGATTGGGATTCATTACTAATAAATAGTATTTATGGTTTTAACATGTTATAATGTATATGGAGAACATATAGCGGAACCATTAAGTGTTTAAATAAATAAATAGTCCTCTATCAAATTGAATGTGTTGTATAATTGCCATCAGATTCTGTTCAGCTGTGTGCTTTGCGTATGTGTCTGTTTGCAACCTTTTGTACTAGTAAGCAACTGTATATGATGTTTTTTCTTAAATAGAATATCTTTCTGTCCCAAATGTGTCAGGAAGCAGCTGTTTTGCAACCTTAAGAGTACATGAGCTTAATGAATACACGAATAAATACAAGTACCAACACACGATCTGTTTTGTGTCAGATTTGTAAGGTAACTGGAGATTAGTACAATGACACAAGACTGCTTTTGCTCCATTTTGAGTAAAGAAAGTGTTTTAAAGGCTAAGTATTCAAAAAAAATCTATATAAAAAATGGTCAACAATGGCAGATTTTGAGCTTGTGAGCTGTGTTGCCATGGTAACTTGAAACAAAATCAGGAGAATTTTACACAACACCTCCAGGTCACTAAGAAATGAATGGGTTGTCTCTAATTGTTGGTCCTTTCTGTCACCTTGAGTGATACAAATTCTGTCAAATGTGTTTTTTTTAACGACAAATTAAAAAGGGTCTTTGCAAGGCAGGAAAAGTAGGGGATAGTTCACTCGAAAATTATCATCATTTTCTCATCTTCAAGTTGTTATAAACCTGTATGAGTCTCTTTCTTCTGCTGAACACAAAAGATGATATTTTGGCGAATGTGGGTAACCAAAACATTTCTGGTAGCCATTGACTTCCATAGTATTTTTTTCCATAATATGGAAGTCAGTGGCTACCGTCAACTGTTTGTTTCCCAGCATTCTTCAAAACATCTTCTTTTGTGTTCAACAGAAGAAAGAAACAACATGAGGGGAGTAAATGATGACAAAATTTTAATTTTTCAGTGAACTGTTACTTCAAGTAAGAATTATTTGTATATGTGTCCCTGCAGCACAGAAGCAGTGTTGAGTCGCTGGGGGATATTTGTAGCAATAGCCAACAATACATTGTATGGGTCACAATTATACATTTCTCTTTTATGCCAAAAATCATTAGGATATTAAGTAAAGATCATGTTCC